GTGGGTAACCCGACCTTTCTCTCTGGCTGCCCTTAACATTTTTTCCTTCATTTCAATTTTGGTGAATCTGACAATTATTTGTCTTGGAGTTGCTTTTCTCAAGGAGTATCTTTGTGGTGTTTCTCTGTATTTCCTGAATTTGAATATTGGTCTGCCTTGCTAGGTTGGGGAAGTTCTCCTGGATAATATCCTGAAGAGTGTTTTCCAGCGTGGTTCCATTCTCCCCCGTCACTTTCAGGTATACCAATCAGACATAGTTTTGGTATTTTCACATAGTCCCATATTTCTTGGAGGTTTTGTTCATTTCTTTTCGCTCTTTTTACTCTTAAGCTTCTCTTCTTGCTTCATTTCATTCATTTGATCTTCAGTCACTGATACCCTTTCTTCCACTTGATCGAATTTGGCTACTGAGCCAAATTCAAATGACGCTTGTGCATGCGTCACGTAGTTCTGGTGCCATGGTTTTCAGCTCCATCAGGTCAGTTAAGGTCTTCTCTGCTCTGTTTATTCTAGTTAGCCATTTGTCTAATCTTTTTTCAAGGTTTTTAGCTTCTTTGTGGTGGATTTGAACATCCTTCTTTAGCTCAGAGAAGTTTGTTATTACTGATTGTCTGAAGCTTTCTTCTCTCAGCTCATCAAAGTCATTCTCCTACCAGCTTTGTTCTGTTGCTAGTGAGGAGCTGCGTTCCTTTGGAGGGGGAGAGGCGCTCTGATTTTTAGAATTTTCAGCTTTTCTGCTCTGTTTTTTCCCCATCTTTGTGGTTTTATCTACCTTTGGTCTTTGATGATGGTGACGTACAGAAGGGGTTTTGTGTGGATGTCCTTTCTGTTTGTTAGTTTCCCTTCTAACAGTCAGGACCCTCAGCTGCAGGTGTGTTGGAGTTTGCTGGAGGTCCACCCCAGACCCTGTTTGGGTATCACCAGCAGAGGCTGCAGAACAGCAAATATTGCAGAACGGCAAATGTGGCTGCCTGATCCTTCCTCTGAAACTTCGTCTCAGAGGGGCACCCAGCTGTATGAGGTGTCAGTTGGCCCCTACTGGGAGGTGCCTGCCAGTTAGGCTACTCGGCGGTCAGGGACCCACTTGAGGCAGTCTGTCCATTCTCAGATCTCAAACTCCATGCTGGGAGAACCACTACTCTCTTCAAAGCTGTCAGACAGGGACGTTTAAGTCTGCAGAAGTTTCTGCTGCCTTTTGTTCAGCTGTGCCCTGCCCCCAGAGGTGGAGTCTACAGAAGCAGTCAGGCCTCCTTGAGCTGCGGTGGGCTCCACCCAGTTCGAGGTTCCTGGCTGCTTTGTTTACCTACTCAAGCCTCAGCAATGGTAGGTGCCCTTCCCCCAGCCTCGCTGCCGCCTTGCAGTTCGATCTCAGACTGTTGTGCTGGCAGTGAATGAGGCTTCATGGGCATGGGACCCTCTGAGCCAGGCACGAGATATAATCTCCTGGTGTGTTGTTTGCTAAGACCATTGGAAAAGCACAGTATTAGGGTGGGAGTGTCCTGATATTCCAGGTACTGTCTGTCACGGCTTCCCTTGGCTAGGAAAGGGAATCCCCCGACCCCTTATGCTTCCGGAGTGAAACGATGCCCTGCCCTGCTTCAGCTCACACTCCGTGGCTGCACCCACTGTCCAACAAGCCCCAGTGAGATGAACCCAGTACCTCAGTTGGAAATGCAGAAATCACCCGTCTTCTGCATCGCTCACGCTAGGAGCTGTAGACTGGAGCTGTTCCTGTTTGGCCATCTTGGAACCTGTCGCTACACACTTTCAAACAACCAGATCTTGTGAGAACTCACTATCACGAGAACAGCAACGGGAAAATCTGTCTCCATGATCAAATCACCTCCCACCAGGTCCCTCCCCCAACATTGGGGATTACAATTCAACATGAGATTGGGGTGGGGACACAGAGCCAAACCATATCACATATACTCTAAAGTAAAGGATAAATTGGCTTGTCCAGAAATACTAAAGAGAAGTTTAATTACATTTTCTAATTTGATGAAAGTTAATTGCTTTCTTGAGTTCATTTTGGCTATATTTGTTGAACATATTTTCTTCAGCTTTAAGAAGAGAATAGAAAATTTACAAGGACCTGAAAGCTTCTAAGATAATATATATATCTGTTATAGATGAGATTTTTCCCATTTGGGGGAGTGTCCTGGTGTGTGTTGATTTCAGGGAAAGGAACCGTGTATATTAAAATTTACTGTGTATTCAACAGCCACAAACTTAATTGGTTTAGATAATATCTGTTTTATCTCTACTTTTTTTGCATAACCATGGTAGTGCTCACCTGACCTAGGGATTAGATGCTAATTGGTTACCCTAATTAGTTATTATCCTAAAAATAAAATAAGATAGTGTCTTTACAGCCGGGCACAGTGGCTCACGACTGTAATCCCAGCACTTTTGGGAGGCTGAGGTGGGTGAATCACGAGGTCAGGAGATCAAGAGATCAAGACCATCTGGCTAACACTGTGGAAACCCTGTCTCTACTGAAAGTACAAAAAAATTGGCTGATGGTGGTGGCGGGCGCCTGTCGTCCCAGCTACTTGGGAGGCTGAGGCAGGAGAATGGTGTGAACCCAGGAGGCAGAGCTTGCGACAGAGCGAGACTCCATCTATTAAAAAAAAAAAAAAAAAGATAATTTCTTTACCTAGTCCCTTTTTTCATCCACATATTGATAAGCAGAGATTTATGAAGAATACCAGTGTTTAGTGCCCTTTACTATTGAGTTTATAGGTAATGTTCCATTTTCTCCAAAGAACCTGAATTACATTCTCTCTTATTTAGAGAAATGGAAACTTCCCAACTTTTTATCTGGTGAAAATTAGGCTAAAACTGTTTATTTCTGCATATTTCTGACCTTACCATTGCTTAATGGAAAAGAATTTCACAGCTTTTTGGTTTTTTTCTTTTTGTGAATGATTTTCTCTGATCTTTCTCTTACAGTAAGAAGAGTAGAAGTGTGTCCCCAGAGTGTTTTTAAGCAGGTTAGGGTTTATCATAATTGAAAGGAATTGGTATCTTAGCTCTTTAGAATTTCTACATTGCCACTTTTTTCTAGGGAAAGCTCAACAGCCTAAAGTAATATTTATTCAGTTCGTTTGGTGGTTGAAATAAAATGTGTGTGTGTGTGTGTATGTGTGTGTGTGTGTGTATGAAAAGTGTGCAGGAAGACACAGCTTTTTGAATGACCAGTGCCATCACACACAGCTCAGTAAAGACCAGCACATTGTGTTAAGATTTAAGGAATCTACAAATTGCCTTGATAGATCAGTCCTGTGCTCATTAGAACAGTTCAGTACTCTTGCCAGTTCATAGGCCCATTATCTGGCCAATTATAGGCCAAATGGTCACTCAGTTTGAGTATATGTAGTAGTGTAGTGTCTCACTTCACTTGCATTGCATGCCCCCAAATACGTATGTAGTTTTGTTTTGTTTTGTTTATTTTTGAGACCGAGTCTCACTCTGTTGCTCAGGCTGGAGTGCAGTGGCATGATCTTGGCTCACTGCAACCTCCACCTTCAGGGTTCAAGCAATTCTTGTGCCTCAGCCTCCCGAGTAGTTGGGACTACAGGCGTGTGCCACCACACTCAGCTAATTTTTTTGTATTTTTAGTAGAGACAGGGTTTCATGGTGTTGCCCTGACCGGTCTCAAACTCCTGGGCTCAAGCAGTCCACCTGCCTCAGCCTCCCGAAGTGCTAGAATTATAAGGGTGAGCCACTATGCCCGGCCTAGTAATTCTTAACAGAATGGAAGCTTTTCCAAATATCTGTAACAAATGTCTTTAATCTAGGGTCCTTTGGGTACCATGATGAGCCTTTAGAGGGACCAAGAACCTACTAAAATTACATGAAGACTTTTGTGTTCAACTGTGTGTGTGTGCGTGCTTAAGGATGGTCCCATAGCTTTCATCAGATGCTTAGAGATCCAAGATCTGGTAGAGTCCTAACTGTTTATAGAGTCATGGCCCAAACTGAAGATCCACATATACTTCATCCACTTTAATACCAAATTTATTGCGACCCTTCAATCAGTCTTACGTACTTTTACATAGAACTCAGTCTACTTATTTTTGTTCTATTTAAGTGTTCTAACCTGTCATTGCTATTAAATAGTGGAATTTGAATGTTTTTGTTTTTTAGAGAAATTTGTAGGGGGCAGATTCTGTTTTCTTCGGTTTTTTCTTTTAACTTTGTAAGGCCTTGGCATAATGAATCGCAATAGATGTAACAATTACTTAACCGTGAAAGCATGCAATGGGGTCAAGTTCTCCAGCACATACGCAGACTTTGAAATTTAAGCCAAAAAGACAGTTTTGGTAATTTGGCTACTCCAGTTACATGTTTTAACTCCTTGAGGTTGTATGGTTTATTTCACATTGGCATGGTTTTGCAACATTCTGCAAATTATGTTTGGTTTATGATAGTATCCAAACACATAAAAATAGTGTAAATGTTTTAACATTTTTTGCTCAGTTAATGTGAATTTGGCAGGAAATACTGCGATAATTTAGGACTGCTCCGTTTTCAGTCAAGATCTGAAATAAAATGTTCAATTCCTAAATGGAAATTTAAGATGTTTGCTTTAAAGCTAGGAGTAATATTTTTTTTAATTACATGAACTACTCAGCTAAGATCATTACATATGAAATAGAAGTATTTTCTTCACATTTTTTTTATGTGCAGTAAGATTATACTGAAGAAACCCATTTAAAAGTTTCATTCTGGGATCTACAGTTTATATGCAGGTACTATAAAATATTTAAGAATTTGGGAAATAATATAACATATTTAAATACATTTAGCAGTACTTGTTTTGTTGGTGAGTCTTAAAACTTAATAAATTGCTGTTAGTATTGTTTAGTAAATAGTGAAAGAAAGGGATGTTGTTGCTTTTTAAATTTTTAGAGGACCTGTATGGTTTTAACCTGGGGGTGTGGGGTAGTTTGTTTTGCATTAATTCATTTTCTCCCTTAATATTCTTTCTGCAGGATAACTTCAAACTAATGTGTACTAATGCCATGATTTACAATAAACCAGAGACCATTTATTATAAAGCTGCAAAGAAGCTGTTGCACTCAGGGATGAAAATTCTTAGCCAGGTAAGGGAAACTCTTTGTCATAAATAATAGTTATTAAAATCTGTGTCCTTGTTTGTTGGCCATAGTAATACAGATACAATACAGTATTTATTTTATTAGCAGGTTATATTAAAGTAGAAAATACTAAATGAAAAAAATTTTAATAAAGAGAAGAAAAGACAGGAAAATTCTTACTTGGAATCAGTACAAATAAATAGTGGCATTCACTTGTAATTATCTCTTTAGAGATAAAACATCAGCTTGAAACATCAACCTGAATTCCAGGATAAGACTGGCTGAATTGTGAGAACTCTGAAGAGGAAAGCTCTCTGTTTGCATTTGTAGGGGTGGAATCTAATGTTGATCAGTCCTGTCAGAAGCACAGAATTTCTAGTAAGAAAATACAGTCATGCACTGCATAATACTGTGTATACAGACTGCATATACAATGGTGGTTCCATAAGATTGTAATGCTGTATTTTTACTGTACTTTTGCTATATTTAAATACACAAATACTTCGCATTGTGTTACAGCTGTCTACAGTATTCAGTATGGTAGCATGCTGTACAGGTTCCTAGCCTACAAGCAATAGGCTATATCATTTAGCCAGTTGTCTGGTAGGCTATACCATCTAGGTTTGTGTAAGTGTACTCATTGATGGTCACACAACAAAATTGCCTAACAGTCCATTTCTCAGAATGTATCCCTTCATTAAGCTACATGTGACTATATACAAATGAGAAAAAGTTCGAAACTGTCTCAAAACCACCTCTCCACAAGAGCAGACTCTTCCTTAAAGGATAAGAATTAATGCATAGTAAGACATTTGAGGTCAGAGAAGTGTGTGTGTAGGCACAGACACATCATCATCAAACTGTAGGAAAGAGCTTAAACATGAGATCTGTACACAGTGGCAAAAATTACGAGTATCACCAGGAAGACAGTTGATAAAAGGCTTTGAAGGGTAAACTGAGATGATCACTGTGCATCCGCTAGAGAAAATAACTCACAAGATAAGCCATATCTTTTGAGATTTTTCTCACCACTCTGAGTGGGAGAAACCTATTAGTAAGAGACCTCTTTAGGGAACGAATCAAGGGTGATCCTGGCACCATACCGTGGCAGGCAGGCAGAAGAGAGTTTTAATTTTAGCTCTCTTCCACTAACTTGTGGACCTTGGGCAAGACATTAACTACCCTGGGACTCAGTGTTCTCATCCCTGAAGAAGGATTTAGTCTGTGATCTCCAAGATGATTTCTAGCATTACTGTTCTGATTCTAGATAAGAGGTAGAGTAGAGAGGATACTATGAAAAAGAACCACAAGGTAGGACAGGGATTTTGCAAAGAAGAAATGAGTGGGTATGAGACACTGGTAGAAGGAGAAAGGAATCAGAGTCGAGAGCTTGAGCTCACATTCAGGCGAGTTAAAGGATGATAAAAATAAGTCGTGCATCTGCATATGGTTTTCCGATTTTTATGGTGATTCATTTTTCTGTATTATAGTTTTACATTTAAAGAAATGCCTTGGTGTGCAGATGTCTGAGTGTCTGTGTGCTTGGCTGAGAGATTCTTGGATTTGCTTAACTAGAGAAAGAAAAACGTGTTTGGATTGTTGATTATTCTTGCGCTCCTAATATTTAGACAACATCAGTTCCCACCCTTTCCTAAAGACTTGGGAAACTAATGGAAACCAGTTACCCATCTTTGACAACATTTGCAGAGGAAAGAGGAATATGAAATGTTTACCCATTCTTTGCAGGAAGACTCAGAATCTAGAACCACGCCGTGTTCCAGGTTTAAAGACCTGGAAATGCTTCTTGTTACTGCATTTGAAGTAAAAATGCATTTAACAGATGCAGCCTTTAGTCACTCCAAAATATGTACATTGAATTGGGTGGTTGGAGCCTAATTTTTAATGACCTTTGATTTACCGCTTCCTTAAGTAATGTAGTTAATACAACAAGCAAAAGATTCCATTATCTCTTGAATTTTACTGGCATGTGGAATGGTTGAAAGCACAGAAAATAAAATTTTCTTCTCCACTTTCCCTTCCCTCTCTCCCTCTTTCTTTCTCTCTCTGTTGTCTTCCTTTTTTTCAGAGCTTTTGCTGTTGAGGAGCCCCACCCATCCTGTGTTATTAGCTTCCTGTTGACTGTTCTCTCCACCCTACATGGGAGGGGTCGTCACAACAGTGATTTTTTTTAAACGTTTAAATTTAGACGTTTTGAGTTAACTCTTCTAATAGTTTGTGCTCCAAGAGAGCCCAGCACACCCTTCCATGAATGGTGTCTTTTCAAAGATAACTGTTTTTGAAGGTTCGTTAAAAAGATTGCAGAGTAGTCACTCATTTTTTCAGTTACACTCAAATAGCAACTATTAGTAGACGTGTTGTTTTTATGAAGAATGAACAGATGAGGACAGGCACAGAAGCTCACACCTGTAATCCCAACACTGGGAGGCCGAGGCGGGCGGATCACCTGAGGTCAGGAGTTTGAGACCAGCCTGACCAACATGGAGAAATCCCGTCTCTACTAAAAATACAAAATTTGCTGGACGTGGTGATGCATGCCTGTAATCCCAGCTGCTCGGGTGGCTGAGGCAGGAAGGTTGAACCCCGAAGGCGGAGGTTGTAGTGAGCCAAGATCATGCCATTTCCAGCCTGGGCAACAAGAGCAAAACTCGGTCTCAAAAAAAAAGAAAGAATGAACAGATGAAGAGTAACTTTTTATCTCCTAAATAAATACTTAAGTAAAATGCTACATTGTAGTACAAGCAAAGTAGTACAAACAATACTATTTGTAACATGGTGGTTTTGAAATCAGACCAATCAAGGTTCAAGTCCTAGCTCTACCCTTTGGAAGCTGTGTGACCTTAGCCCAGGTAACCTTTCTCAGCCTTTTTCCTGTCCTGTAAAGTGGGCATAATAATAGTACTTACCTCATGGAATTGTGTCTGGTACATGGGTAAGCACTAAGTAAATGTTAGCTATATTGTTAGCAAAGAACCAGCCCTGTTAGCCATTTAATATTGTAAAATTGAAGATCAGTAATATGCTGACTTGGAGGCATTTTAATTACCAAAAAAAGAAAAAAACATTGCTTTCAAAGGAAAATTAAACTTCACTCTTTCCTGGGACTTGTTTCAAGGTTTAGAAACTTCCTCTAATTGAATTTATTTTGTGCATGTCATTTTTTTTTAAATCCCAAAATGTTCTTAATGTAAGTTCTGCTTTATAAAATTCTAGAGTGGAAATAAAATTATTACCGAGAACTTAACAGAAATAATTAAACCAATATTTTTAATGTAGCAAAATAAAACGTGTTTTTAAAAATCAAATAAGATTGCTTTTTGTTGTTGTTTTTTGTGTTTTTTGTTTTTTTTGAGACAGTCTCACTGTGTCACCCAGGCTGGAGTGCAGTGGCGCAATCTCGGCTCACTGCAGCCTCTGCCTCCCGGGTTCAAGCGATTCTAATGGATTTGCTTTTTAAACGATACAGTTGATTTTGTCAAGGATTCAGAGAAACTGTCAAACACTAATGTAAATTAGTATACCTTTTCTGGAAGGCAGTAATTATCAAAAGCCTCAAAAATACTCATTCCCTTTGACTTTGTTTCCTTTCTAAGAGTTTGTCCTAAAGAGATGGTTGTTCCTAGAGAGATTTATTTATAATGATGTTTATGGTACTTTTATTTATAATAGTAGAAACATGGAAATCTACATGTTCAATCATAGGCCATTAGTTAAATCATGATGTAGATGTGGGATTAAATAGTTATTAAAATATTTTAAATATCTATTGATATGGAGAGGAAATGCTTATAATTTATTAACCAAAAAAATGCTTTTTACTAAATATTCAGTATAATTCCAATTTGCTAAGATATGTAATGGTTGGAAAAGTACTGGAATGATAAACTTGTTAATGCTCTTCTTCTCTGGATGATACATTAAGAAGATTTTTATTTTCTCCTCTACCCATATTTTTATTTGTCCACAATAAAATATATCGCTTTAATGGTTTTAAGATTAATTTAAAAGTCCAGTAAAAAACAGCAAGAACTGTGTTCGTGAGGATCTCACCATCCGCACTACTAATAGAGCATGGTGTGATGAGGAAAGGCCCGACATGAGTGACAGCAAGCCTAGTTTTAGTTGCTGGTTTAGTGACCTTAGGTGAGTCATTTGTTGTTTCTGGGCCATGTTTTTCTTGTTTGAATGGCCTCTGGTTCTTTCTAGTTCTTAGTTTCTGTTACTCCACAGAAGTCTTCCCTGTTGTTGCTGTGCAACCCTAAGGAGGTTGCACTCTCTATTTTACCCAGTGATAACTCTCAGAGTAACAGGCAAGGTAGTCATTAGAAACAAATATGCCTTCTTAAAATTTACGCAGAAACCTCAAGCCCTTAACTACAGTGAAAATTTCACAGCGCATCATTGCAGCGGAAAATTAAGCACATGTTTCACAGAATAGAAACAAGACTTCTTTCGTTAGTGAAACCATTTTGCACTCTGAGGAAGGAACTATGCCACCAGCCTGTCTTCTCCTCAAGGCTTGTTGTTTTCACACAGAGTGAAATGCCAGCATCATCAGTGAGCACCCCGGGCTACCAGAATAGAGAGGAACTTCACATGCTCACATGCCCTAGGCTTTGATACACCTAACAGTTCTTAACTGTCAAAAGAGAAGCCAGTCTGTTAAACACAAAATGTTAACACACCATTAAACTAAATTTTACTCTTCCAGTTCAGTACGTCAAAGAATACTTCATCTTAATTCATACTTTCTCCTTTGTTAACCTTCTGATAGGGCAATAAAGTTGTAAAGCTTTCTATGAAGTTGGAAATTAAATTTTAAGAATTGAAGGTATAGGCATTATCATGGTTTCCAAATACAATACTCTCTTGGTATATGATTACATTTCATTGTTTTTCTTCCCTGGTTAATGATAGGATAAGTACAAACTCCTGTGGGAAAAAATGCTTTACTTTAAAAGTTAATGACAAACATATAATAAGAATATTTTTGAATATGTTTAGGAAAGAATTCAGAGCCTGAAGCAGAGCATAGACTTCATGGCTGACTTGCAGAAAACTCGAAAGCAGAAAGATAGAACAGACACCTCACAGAGTGGGGAGGACGGAGGCTGTTGGCCAAGAGAGACAGAGGACTCTGGAGATGCCGAAGCACACGCCTTCAAGAGTCCCAGCAAAGAAAACAAAAAGTAAAAGATCTTTGGGATGTTAAGGTCAAACTGTCTTCTTCAAGCTAGTAACGGGGAGAAATACTGATTCAGGGCCTGACTTGGGAAGACCAAGTGCTAGTGTGTCCGTAGTGGTGGTGTTTGGGCATGAAAGTCCATTTTGATGATGTAATACCCCTCTTCTCATATGAAGCACTATATGGGATTGTCCAAACAGTTCAGAAAGCAGTTCTAATGTATTTTCTTACTGAAGTAGTTTTAAAACCTGTGAAGTAACTTTTGGGACTCATATGGTCAGTGAGTTTATTTAAATAGAACTGTTTGTTTAAAAAAAAAAAAAAATGCATAGTCATTACCTCCTTCCATAAAGCAGCAAGGAGCTCAGTGGGAGCACAGTCACTGCTGTGTCTTAAGCAGATGAGCTGTCACTGCAGCGTGCCCATGTTTTCCACCCAACATCAGCTGGTGGGAGCAACGCTGAACCACTGTTCCACCCAGGCAGCCACCTGTGAAGCTGGCAGCAGCCGCGTCTGCTCACTCACACCACTGGGAGCCAGCCCTGACTGCTCAGCACCTCACTGCCAACTTTGAGGAGGGTAGTAGTTAGCATTTTGGGATTTTTGCTGTCATAATGCAAAGACAGTAGTAAACTAGTGACAAGTTTTTCTTTGTTCTAAGATTTACACACTTCAGTGCTTGTTTTAAATTTTAAAAATCAAACTTTAAAAGAACAATGGTATATTCTTCTCCCTTACAAAGTACTGTTTGAGGTAGAACTAATTTTTTTGTAAGTTCCCAGAAAAACATTTAACACAAGTAACACTGAACAGAAAAAGGTAGGGCAATAGCATGTTAGGTGTGCCTTACTGTTTTTGTTCTTTAATTAGAGACCCTTAACCAGGTCATCAAGGAAATATGTTTCAATGAGTGACTGTAGTCCAAATGTCTCGAGACCACTTTAGTTGTATTCATATTTAGAATTCATTTGAATGTTTTCATCGTATCTTTGGTTTTTTTTACTAAGTATTAATGTGTGTTTTCAGGAAAGACAAAGATATGCTTGAAGATAAGTTTAAAAGCAATAATTTAGAGAGAGAGCAGGAGCAGCTTGACCGCATCGTGAAGGAATCTGGAGGAAAGCTGACCAGGCGGCTTGTGAACAGTCAGGTGATTGAGCTTTGCCTTTCTTTTCTCTACCTACTGATTTGGGACATCTGAAACTTGTAGTTTTTAAGTTGCTTGCGTATTTTTTAATCCATGTCTGCCATAGAGCTCTTCATCAGTATAATACTTAGCAGGAAAAAAATTAATAACAGACGATTCCCTACAATGAGTTTATCAGGATGTTAAATGCGTTTTCAACTCATGATATTTTCAACTTACAATGGGTTTATTGGATGTAACTCCACTGTAAGTTGAGGACCATCTATGTTCATTTATAAAGTACATGATTAATCTTACCCACTTTCACTGGATTTTTTAAAAAGGAAGTTATAATATGTTCTAAAATGGGAACATGAACTACATAATTTAAGTTTACAAGAAAACATTCGTATTTACAAGAAATCATATTGTTTAGCACATTGGTTTTATTTATTTAATTTTAGATTCAAGGGGTACATACACAATTTTGTTACGTGGGTATATTGCATGATGTTGATATTTGAGCTTATCTTGAACCCATCACCCAAATAGTGAACATAGTACCCAGTAGGAAGTTTTTGAACCCTTGCCCCCTTCCCTCCCTGCCCCCTTTTAGCATTTCCAGTGTCTGTTCTTCCCATTTTTGTGTCCATGTGCCACCAGTGTTTAGCTCCTACTTTTAAGTGAGAACATGCAATATTTGTTTTTCTGTTTCTGCATTAATTTGTTTAGGATAGTGGCCTCCGTCTTCATCCGTGTTGTTGCAAGGGACATGATTTGATGCATTTTTATGGTTGTGTAGTATTCCATGGTGTGTGTGTGTACTGCATTTTCTTTACCTAGTCTCTTGTTGGTGGGCACCTAGGTTGATTCTGTGTCTTTGTTGTGCACAGTGCTGCAGTACACATACAAATGCATGTATCTTTTGAGTAAAATGATTTTTTTTCTTCTGGGTACATACCTAGGATTGCTGGGTCAAATTGTAATTCTATTTTTAGTTCTTTGGGAAATCTTCAAACAGCTTTCCACAGGAGCTGAACTAATTTACATTCTCACCAACAGTGAGCATTCCCTTTTCTCCACAACCTTGCCAGCATCTCTTTTTTTTTTTTTTCGAGTTTTCAGTAATGATATAATATGGTATCTTATTGTGGTTTTGATTTGCATTTCTCCAATGATCAGTGATGTTGAGCATTTTCTCAGACGTTTGTTGGCTGCTTGTATGTCTTCTTTTGAGTAGTGTCTGTTCATGTCGTTTGCCCAGTTTTTAATGGGGCTATTTGTTTGTTTCTTGTTGATTTAAGTTCCTTATAGATACTGGGTATTAGTCCTTTATTGGATGCGTAGTTCACACATATATTCTCCTGTTCTGTAGGATGTATCTTTACTTTGTTGATAGTTTCTTTGGCTGTTCAGAAGCTCTGTAGTTTAATTAAGTCCCACTTGTGAATTTTTGTTTTTGTCACTTTCACTTTTGAGAACATAGAAAATTCTTTGCCAAGGCCCATGTCCAGAAGAGTATTTCCAAGGTTTTCTTCTAGGATTTTTATAATTTGAGGTCGTACTTTTAAGTGTTTAATCCATTTGGAGTTAATGTTTGTGTATTGTGAGAGATAGGAGTTCAGTTTCATTTTTCTGCACATGGTTAGCCAGTTTTCTTAGCACCGTTTTATTGAATGATCTTTCTACATTGTTTATTTTTGTCAACTTTGTCAAAGATCAGTTGGTTGTATGTATGTGGCTTTATTTCTGGGTTCTCTGTTCTGTTCCATTGGTCTGTGGGTTATTTTGTTTATTTTTACCTGTATCGTGCTGTTTTGGTTATTGTAGCCTTGTAGTTTTATGGGAGCTTTTGTTTGGTTTGGTTTAATTTTGAGACAGGTTTTCACTCTGTCGCCCAGGCTGGAGTGTGCAGTGGCACGATCTTGGCTCACTACAGCCTGCGCCTCAGGAGCTCAAGCAATTCTCCTGCCTCAGCTTCCCAAGTGGCTGAAACTACAGGTGCATGACACCATGTCCGGCTAATTTTTGTATTTTTTGTAGAAATGAGGTCTCACCGTATTGCCCAGGCTGGTCTCTAACACCTGAACTCAAGCAATCCACCCAACTCAGCCTCCCAAAGTGCTAGGATTACAGACATGAGCCACCATGCCCAACCTGTAGTATAGTTTGAAATTGGGTAATGTGATGCCTCTGACTTTGTTCTTTTTGCTTAGAATTGCTTTGACGCTTCAGGCTCCTTTTTGGTTCCATGTGAATTTTGGAATAGTTTTTTCTGAATCTGTGAAGAATGATGTTGGGAATTTTATAGGAATAGCATTGAATCTGTAGATTGCTTTAGACAGTATGGACGTTTTAACAATATTGATTCTTCCATGAGCATGGGATGTTTTTCCATTTGTGTCATCTATGATTTCTTTCAGCAGTGTTTTTTAGTTCTTCTTGTAGAGATCTTTCACCTCCTTACATATATTTCTAGGTATTTTATTTTTTGTGTGGCTGTTGTGAATAGGATTGCATTCTTGAGTTGGCGCTCAGCTTGAACATTATTGGTGTATAGAAATGCTACTGATTTTTGTAAATTGATGTTGTGTCTTTACCAAAAACACATTTTTCTTTATATACTATGTATATAGAATTGTTTCTCTTATATCTAGTAATTTTAATAATATATATTAACTATTTTAACTCTTAGTAACCCTAATTTCAAGTGAAAACCCTAAGAATACTTGATATAACATGACTTTAAGATTTAAAATTACAGAAGAGAATTTTGAAACTAGTTTTATTTAACAAGGATTACTGAAGTTGTGTGAACTAGAAGGCATTTGAGCCAAGTTCTATTTTTTTAATAAAATAATTGATTTAAGCACTTTTCTTTGGTCAGTTGATTAGAGCGCTTTCATATATTTTGATAGTGATATATCACATACACATGACACATATATAGACATACAAACACACAGAAACAGATCTTCTAGATTTATAAGATTCTTCATTTGCCAGTTTTCACTCTCTCCCCCTCGTAGACTATCTATCATTTACAAAGTCATAACAAAGTAGATGAAACAAGGTAGAAAATTTACATCTCAAAGGCACAAAACCTAAACCTAAACACCATTACCTGAAAACAAGATTGCCAGAAGGAGGTTGCAGTGAGCCAAGATCTTGGCACTGCACTCTAGCCTGGGCAAGAGTGAGACTTTGTCTCAAAAAAAAAAAAAAAAAGATGTCGTCTTTTCAACTTGTTTCCTTATTAGATTACTGGTTTCAAGGAGGGGAGCCCTTTAAGGAACAGGGCCAAGAAAGCATGCAGCTTTTAGAGCCTGATACTTACTGGAAGGCAGATTTTAGATCACCCCAAATCACTGAATCCTGGGTCCCCAGAAAGCCTTAGAGATCAGGTAATACAATACAGAAAAGAGCAGAGTTTTAGATCTGAGAGGAATCTGTCTGCTTACAACTCTTGGTATTCTGTGAGGAAAAACAGAGATTCTTCCCAAAAAGAGGAGTATTTGATGCCTTTATTGTTTACCTCGAGGGATCACAAGCTGCCAGAAATTCCATCAGGTCCCTAATATGGTATGGAGGGTGGCAAGAGGAAGGAGGGCTAGCCAAACAGAACTCAGTTGACTGAGACATTTTACAGGGCCATTACAGCGGCATTAAAACTATAGACATATGTTTGTATATGTATAGCCCAAATAGCAGTTTTAACTGAGCCAACATTTGAATATAGAGCTCTTTTTCAAAAAAATATTTTTCCTAATTGTAATTCCTACTCAAGCTGTTTTACTTTTGCTTCTGCTGCTAGCTGGGCTCCTGTTGACAAACAAGCAGCCCACAAAAGTGGCCGTCTTGCTGCAGTGGCTGCCAGCTGCCCTTCATGACCACAGTGCGACGGATGGCTCTCAGCCAACAATCACTCCAAATACACTGGCGTTTTCAGGGCATCCTTGTACTCACACACAGGCGTCTAAAACGTGAGCCACACCACTCCACGTGGAAGTGGCTGCCACCTGGGATTTCCCCCACGGATGCTTCCTTCCCTTTGCCCATTTCTTGGTCCCTCAACTCCTGGCTAGCTCACCACATGTTCCAGCTTAAATGTTTCCAGAAAGAAACATTTAATGGGGACTTAGGAACAGAAGCCATGTCTGTGTCTTGGGTGGCAGTGAGATGGTGGGTCCCTGCCCACATTGGTTTTAAAGCCAAGTAGGTGTGTACATGCCTTTAAGCAAGCCACTGCCCTTTCCTGGTCCGTAGTAGCCTTTTTTGATAGACTGGGGAGAACTAGGTAGCCTTAAGGACCCACAGAGCTAGGCCGGGCGCGGTGGCTCAAGCCTGTAATCCCTGCACTTTGGGAGGCCGAGACGGGTGGATCCACGAGGTCAGGAGATCGAGACCATCCTGGCTAACATGGTGAAACCCCGTCTCTACTAAAAAATACAAAAAACTAGCCGGGCGCGGTGGCAGGCGCCTGTAGTCCCGGATACTCGGGAGGCTGAGGCAGGAGAATGGCGTGAACCCGGGAGGCGGAGCTTGCAGTGAGCTGAGATCCGGCCACTGCACTCCAGCCTGGGCGACAGAGCGAGACTCCGTCTCAAAAAAAGAAAAAAAAAAAAAGGCCCACAGAACTCTTAGAATTCTGAGATTTTCCTCACCTCCATTTCTCTAGCCCATCATCCCCTGTATACCTGGAGACAGGTGTGAAAGTCAGTACCTTGAGTTTAATGATTAGCCACCTGTAATATTAGGTTAAAATAAGGCTTTGTGGTTTGCTGCATATATGAATATGGTACAGACTGAGCATCCCTAATCCAAAAATTCAAAATCTGAAATTTGGTCCAAAATCTGAAATTTTTTGAGCTCCGACATGATGACATAAGTGGAAACTTCCACACATGACCTCATGTGACGGGTGCACAAAATTATTTAAACTATTGTATAAAATTACTTTCCGGCTGTGTCTGTAAAGTATGTATGAAACATAAATGAATTTTATGTTCCATCCCTATATCTCATTATGTATATGTAAATATTCCAAAATCTGGGAAAATCTGCAATCCACAACACCCTAGTATCAAGCCTTTCGGATAAAGGATACTCAGCGTGTTTGTATAAAACACTTCATTCCATCTGAATACTTTGGGTCATTGCAGTGCGAATTCGAAAGAAGAAAACCAGATGGAACAACAACATTGGGACTTCTCCATCCTGTGGATCCCATTGTAGGAGGTAGGATCAGAGTAAAACTGTGCATGAACTTGATGCTGTTTGGCAGAGAAGAGTAACCTGGGTTAACATTTTAAAGCAACAAGCTTGAATATTGATCAGTCTAACTGTGTCATTATGCAGAGGATCTAGCTAGACGTCATGTATTTCATGGTATTAGCTAGCCTAACTTTCACTTCATCTTAGAATAGGTACGGTATATCAAGTTTTCCTTAAAATTCAAAGTTTTGAAATATTTTAAACCCACCATTAACAAAGCCATAATTTAGATAGTAATTCCTAGCCCTGATTTTAAGAGACTTTAGTATAGACACTCAGTTTAGAGGTATCTCATACCCACAGATTATGATATTATAAATTTAACTGATCTCTTTATTTCAGTGAATAAATGAATGTATATGCCACATAGTGCCTTAATAATAATGGAGGGTGTATGCTTAGTGACATCGTATCTTTCACTGAAGTCAGTAGAAAGTTTGTAAAGATTGGGAATCTTTAGAGCCTCAGTCGTATTTTTGTTTTCTCAAATGATGTTTTAATGGAAATAATATAGGTTATATTTTGAAATTCGATGTCAGAATTAGAACTTTTTGTCACTGGTCTGAGGGGAGAATCATGTATTGAGATATGCAAATGTGACAGTGTTAATTTAGTCAACAAATATTTATTTTCATACTGTCATAATGAGAGAAGTAATTGGAAATACGAAAATGAATAATGACAGAATTTTTACCCTTAAGGAAACAGTCTCTGATGTTTATTGTTTGCTATGAGCAGGGTGCTGTCTTAGGAGCTAGCTGTATAGTAGAGAACCAAACAGAGAGAGAGGAGTCTCTTTTCCTTAGGTTCTATGGAGTCGGGGGAGGAGGGCTCATGTAAAAAGAAGTCTGTCCTTAATCAGTACTATGCAGGTATGTGTCTATAATGAATAAATACTACAAAGGAAAAGAACAGCTGTGATCATAATGGAAGATACCGACCTAGTGTTTGGGGGTCAGGGAAGGCGTCCTTAAGGAGATGATGTTTAGGTTGAGTAAGGGATGAGAGAACAGCAGGTGTGAAAACTTTGAAGCAGGGAATAGCATTTGAAGATGGAAAGAAGGGGACCATGAACGTTCTCTAAAGGAGGAGAACAGTAATAGAAGAAAAGGAGCTAGTGCTGTTTTCAAAACAAAACTCAGTTTTTACTTTGATGCAAACAAGTAGAATTTTATATGACCATAGGTCAAAGAATGCCACAGGATTGAGAACATTGCTCTTTCTAGTATAGCTGTGGTAAACATTTGGTGTTAGGAGATGCAGCTAACTGATGGAGGTGACACCTTAAGATCTGCTGCTTTCTGTGAAGCCAGGAGTGTGGTCTCTGCCTTTGGTCTGGTTTCCTGGGTTTCCAGTTTCTGAGACATAATCAAATGTGGCCAAAGCTGATTTGGCTCCCTGTGTGCACAGCTCCCTCTGTAGGCCACTTTCGTGGTTTAAGGTAGAAGACACCCCTGTTCATCTTCTCAGCTTCATCATCTGGTACCCGTACCCATTAGGAAACCAAATTCCAGACTATTCACTGAGAAGGAGAGGAGATCTGATTTAGATGTTCAGTTGGTTAACAGTGCCTTCACCACACTGGTCACTGGTGGCAGTAGCCTCCGTTGCAGGCTGATCATGTGACACAGACTCTTCTTCAGGAGAGCAGATGCCCCTCTGTTAGATACTGTGGGAGACCACATCTCCTGCCAGCATCTTTTGCAGTCCCCTCAGGTGCCCACCCATGATTTCTGTATGTCACATATTCCCAGCTTCATCACAGGGATTCATTCCTGGCTAATGCCTGTTCTCATTGCACTAAAAGTATGCCTTTCATAGACACTCATTTATCCTTCATGTGTTAGTAGCCCTTTTGTCTTTAATGCAGGTGTTTTCCCTCAGTCTTTTACTAACCTTTGTACTGGTTAACTTTCATCTTAACATTAGAAATCCCAGCTTTTAAAAGTTTTCATGGCTTTTGTTTTTAATAAAAGTCTAATTTTTTAAGTCAAGCGTATGTGGTTATAAAGAATTCCAGGAAGCAGGAGAGTGTAATGAACAGGTCTAAGTTTTGGTCCTGGCTATAGCTCTGCCTTTCTGAGCTTTGATTTTCTTATAAAAGTGGGTGTAGTAAGGGCTTCCCAGCCTCCTTCACGGTCATGCAGATGCCATGCAGTGGTGTATGCGGAGTCACTCGGCAGAGGGCCCCGTGGGTCATGGCCATGTAGGCCTCTTTCACTGTGCTCAGTTTTATGTTGTAGAGCCAGGCTACTGCCCTGTGAGACTGGGAATGACAACTGGAAGACTTCAGTCTGGAGTGAATACTTTGCAGGGGTTCAAAGAGGATAAAAGGAACAAAGTCACTCCAGGTGAGGCTCCTGCATAGAAGTCATTTTTTTCTCTTCTCTGTTTTGGGGTATTAGGGAAAGGAAGCACAATTACGCTTTATTCACTAGATGGGCACCAGTATCTTGGTGGTATTTTTGCAACATTAATTAGCTATTTTATTAACTTCAGAAGAGACTGGAAAATTGGGTATTCATATTCAAAATGAGTTTTGTTCTTTATTGTTCCTCTCCTCTCCCTTGTAGGGAAGAATTCACTTGAGTTGTAACTTTACAAGTACCTGTTTGGGAGAAAATATCTTAGATTTGCGAACCAGTCAATGAAGTAGTAAAGTTAGGAGAGAATAAATCATCTTTTGGTAAAACAAGAAAATAGATTGACATACAAGTTAAAGAATAGTGTTACAGTATTTGATTTTTTCAACAGTGTTGTATTTGAATTATGGGCCCTACAGTTCTTATGCACCGCATTATGACTCCACATTTGCGAATATCAGCAAGGATGATTCTGATTTAATCTATTCAACCTATGGGGAAGACTCTGATCTTCCAAGCGATTTCAGGTGAGTCTCCAGTTAATATTCTGATTACATTTGTTTAAAAACATTAATGTACATACGTGATTTGTGGGTAGACTGACAAAACTGGCCGAGTAGTAAAAAATGTGCTCAGTAATTTTTTTTAGCTGACAATAATGGATTCATAGTTACTGTTATCCTTTAGTGGAGAGAGAGCATGTCTCCCTGATGGTGGCATCTGCAGTATTTTAATTCTTAAACAAAAATATATTTTTAAAGAGACTACCTCAGCCAGTATTAAAGTTTAGGTACTTGTTACTTCAAAATGTTGACATGCCATCTGTTCTCTTATAACATGTTGTGTGTCAGTGAGTTATGGTCCAAACTTGATCAGTTTGGGAACCCACAGTGCATTTTCCCCGAGAAAGGAGGCAGGATAGGATGGCTCTATTCCATAGGCAACCCACATAAAAGCCTTTTTGACCAATCACATGCCAGGTAGACCATTGCAGTTAAACTCAGCCATTCTTTATTGCATGTTTCTGTGGGAAGATCATCTCTGTGTTCCTGTTTAGGATGCTGAGCAGTTTGGATCCCATCAACACAATGAGATCTGTCCTGACTTAGCAGGATTCTGGCTCAGGATGGGATGCTGAGCTTGGGTTATGGCAGTAGTTTACTGGATATTATTCCTTCTTAGCAGTAGTACCTTGTTAATTTTCATTATGTGTAAGAAATTAACCCTGTAGATTCACCAGTCCCCTGTTTCTCTGATAAAGGGAGAATCTGTTCACTTTCACATTAGTAAGTGTGGTTTGGTGGTGGTGGTTTTTACAGGGTAGGGGTCCATAAGTCTGAAGTTGACTGTGGTTTCAGATCAAGCCATTTAATCTTTTAGACCTCAGCAGCCTGAATGAATTCTTTCTGGATTATGTATCTGTGCATACCACAAATAGGGATTGCACAGGGAAACAATACTGGCAAAGGCCCATGCCCTCTTGTCAAATGATAACAAGTGCTTTGGAGAAAAGTAAAGCAGCAGAGAAGGAGAGAGTGGTGCTGGGGCTGTGAGAGGGGTGCACTTTTAAATCAGTCAGGAAAGTCTGCACAAAAGGGAAAGTTGAGCAAAAACTGAAGGAGGTGAGGAAGCAAGCAAGGCTGCCACCTGAGAGAGCATTCCAGGCAGCGCAGGAGCTACGCAGAGGGCCTGAGTGAGAGCCTTCCCAACACACTTGAGGAACAGCAGGAAGCAGCAGAAGTGTGCAGGCACATGGCCAGGGAGGGCGTTGGTGACAGTAGGTCCTTATAAGCACTTTGAATTTTATTCTCAGTGAGATGGAAACTACTGGTGGATTGCGAGCAGAAGAGTGACCCAGTCCAGCTTATGATGTTTAAAGGATCACCCTGGCTACTCTTGGAGAATAGACTGTAGAGAGGCAAGGACAGAAGTAGGGAGATGAGAAATGGACCGGGGGAGTAGCAGGTGAGGTTCTGAGAAGGGCTCAGTCATCAGCCAGTAGGATTTCTTTACTGATTGAAATGGGATGTGGGAGAGATGTCGAGGCTGACTCCAGGGTTTGCACACTGAGCTTGGAAGGCTGCAGTTGCTATTTACTGAGAAAGGGGAGACTTTGGAACATGACTTAGTGGGGAAGATCTAGCATTTCAGTTTTGTATGTTTTAAGCTTGAGATGTCTGTTAGACTTCCATGTGGAGCACCAAAGGGTGTGGTCCAAACTGGACATGTGACTTTTGAGAGTTTTTTGATCCCAGATGAAAGTCCTGAGGTGAAGGTGATCACTGTAGACAGGAAGTGAAAGGGCGGGAAGCAGAAGATTCAGGGACTGAGCCTGCACCCCTGTCACTGAGGTCTCATTTTTCTTTGGAACATTTTATTTTTACTGTGTTCTTCATATTAATTCTCTCATGATAATGTTATTGCTAATTTGTAGATACCATGTTGTGTCTAGGCAGAAATTTGATGTCTTGATGTATAACCGAGGGCATCTAATGGGAACAGTTGGCTCTGATAGGAGGATAAAGCCAGTGGAGGTGATTTATGTGAGACTTTCCTCTCTCTTGCAGCATCCATGAGTTTTTGGCCACATGCCAAGATTATCCGTATGTCATGGCAGACAGTCTACTGGATGTTTTAACAAAAGGAGGTCATTCCAGGACCCTACAAGAGATGGAGATGGTAAGAACGCTGCTAACGGAACAGGGTAATTTATTATCGACTCTCAAGCATTAGTCATTCAGTATAATGAAACCATGGGATTAACCAGTATGACAGCTGAACTCCGTGGCCCTGAAAGACAGCCCAGCCCGGGTGGAGGCCACGGGTGGACAATGAACGGAAAGGAGTAGCTTAGCTACCAGGATCTGTGAGGGCCCGAGCATTATCCTTATCTCATCTTGGGAATGTAGGACTCAGAAATGGGGTTTACAACTCAGAAGTCGGTGTTGTGTCCTCTAACAAAAAAGCAGAGTTTTGCTCACTGGCCTGAAACTAAGTTGGCTAAAATGATAGGGAATGGCTTTTCCTTATGCAGTAATAGCACATCGGGAGGAACCTCAAGTTAAAAAGTAAAAAGCTTCCTCATTGCTATTTTATTAACACTTGTAAGCTATCTCTAGTGCAGCTGCAGATAGTTCGTAATCTGGAATCATTCAGAGTTGTGGCTCAAGGATTAGAACCAGAAAATGTTCCTGCTGATATAGAAGAGAGTTGATCTCCAGAATGTTCCTGTCACAATAGTTAGAGAAACCCTGTGTCTCTTGGAGATCTAACTCTTAATGGTGACTGCGACTGTAGTGCCTGGTACCCTGCTCACAACCGCACATATGGTTGCTGGATGACCTGTCAGCAGAGCTGAGGTTAGTGCCTCAGTCAGGCTCAACGATGACTGCTGTAAAATATCTGCACTCAGACCGCTTTCATCACACAACCTAAAAAATGAAACTTTACATCAATTAAAAATACACATATTTTTTACCATATCCTTCTCATCAATTAATCTGAATGAATTAATAATCTAACGAAAATTGAATATTTTTCATTTGGTGAATATGGCAATGTGTTTCAAAATGTTAAGTGTCTTTGTCCTTCAATATAGCAGTTCTTCTCAGAATTTATTCTAGAAAAAATACAAAAGTTACATATAAGGATACATTGTTCATAATTTTTAGAAATTGGGAATTGGTTAAATAACTGACAACAGAACTTTTCAAAGAAAGATGACATCATTGATTGATGTCCATGATACATCTGTCTCTTGTTCCTGGGTGCGTTATCTGTGCAGAACAAGATTGAGAAGCTTTCACATTCTCTGTAGCATTTGATTATTTTTCAGTAATCCTCTGCTATCTGAGAATATTGCTCTGTTCATGAACAGTAATCCCTAGAACTCCTTCCTGTCTTCTTGTCAGGGATTTTTCTAATAAAAACAGATACCGTTTATTTACATATTTATAAGTTATTTACCAAATACCTTCTTAAATATGTATGTAGCTTTTGATCAGGCATGGAAATAACATCACCAGTAATAAGTACCCCAGCTCACGGAATCCTCTCAAAATGCTAATAATTGTATTTAGTCATTTTGGTCTGGAAAATTATATTGTAGTAGTCCATATTTGTATTCATTTTATCTTGCCAAGAAACTTCTGACACTTTTCTCTTTTCCTTGATATTTACCTTCATGTGTTTTCCTAAAAAGCTGTTTTTCTGTATCCTTACAGTCATTGCCTGAAGATGAAGGCCATACTAGGACACTTGACACAGCAAAAGAAATGGAGGTGATTTTATTTTACACTTTACGAGAAATATTTAATTGGAAAATAAGGGGAATAAGAGAAGTCTTGAGAATGGGAAGGCCTATTGGGTAAGAAGTAAAAGGGTTAGTGAGTAGAGTTGTGAGGGCCTAGCTGAAATGGCAAATCATAAATGCTTATCAGTGCCAAGTTACACTATTATACAGTTTCTCCACCACAAGTTTTTAGCCCATATGTAGGCAGAGAAATCAGGTGGATCAATGGAGTTGGAGTTGGAGAGCCACACCATAGTATAAATGGAACCATTCGCTTTTGATTGCTTAATATCTGGGTTGATCTATTCCTAAAAAGCAATGTTGAGGTTATGGAAACTCTGAGTCTTAACGATTCTGAAAATAAAAACTCCACCTTTTTTTTTTTTTTCTTTGAGACAGAGTCCCGCTCTGTCACCCAGGCTGGAGTGTAGTGGCACGATCTTCGCTCACTGCAACCTCTGCCTCCTGGGTTTAAGCAGTTCTCTTGCTTCAGCCTCCTGAGTGGCTGTGATTACAGGTGCCTGCCACCATGCCCAGCTAAATTTTTTTTTTTTTTTTTTTTTTTTTTTTTTAGTGGAGACAGGGTTTCACTATGTTGGCCAGGCTGGTTTCAAACTCCTAACCGCAGGTGATCCTCCCACCTCGGCCTCCCAAAGTGCTAGGATTACAGGCGTGAGCCACTGCACTGGGCCGGCTCTATCCTTTTTAAGATTTTGTTTCTCTCATGCAATACTGACAGCCTAGTTTGGGGGCCTGGAGAAGACCCAGGAAGTGTGTCAATAAGAATGCAAGTATATGGACTAGATGGACTGAAATAGTCTTTGAATCTCGAAAACACAAGGCATTGTCATCACCAAAAGCTCTTCACAGTTTAAGCAACAATAAGGCTCTCATTACTTCATCTTTAGAATAGTTGCCACACTAAACAAATGATACAAATTGTATGAGATACGCCATTACATTTCACAGAAGTGTGGATTTATTGAATACCTGTTTTTGCCAAGATTTGGGAATAGCATTTTAAAAGGGTGTTCTGGAAATTCATTTTCTGTAAGCATCAAAATTAGGACTCCATAGTAAATAGGTAGAGTAACTTTGCCTGTAAATACACACCATCTTAGTAATTTCTAGTTAGCACTGCTGTGGCTTAGCAAACTCCAGTAATTGCCTGTTTTTCCTTTTGAAGCAGATTACAGAAGTAGAGCCACCAGGGCGTTTGGACTCCAGTACTCAAGACAGGCTCATAGCGCTGAAAGCTGTAACAAATTTTGGTGTTCCAGTTGAAGTTTTTGACTCTGAAGGTGAGTGTCTCCAGAGGGTTTGATTGAAAAACTGCATGATGTAGGCAGTCAAGATTTCATGTCTCATAAGTACAGATTAATATAGCCATTCACCACAGGAAGATCTTGGCTTACCAAGTTAAATGAATGGGTATAGTGTGTTGATTTCATTTCAAGGGGATTACTCTTTTGAAGGGAGAAGGCTAACCAATAATTAGCAAAGCCCTAGAGCCTAGGAGTCAGTTTATTACACAAGATCAAACACAAGTGTGTCTGTTTTCTTCCGTGTGTTCTTTTTCTTACCACACAGAAGCTGAAATATTCCAGAAGAAACTTGATGAGACCACCAGATTGCTCAGGGAACTCCAGGAAGCCCAGAATGAACGTTTGAGCACCAGACCCCCTCCCAACATGATCTGTCTCTTGGGTCCCTCATACAGAGAAATGCACCTTGGTATGTTTTGCCTCCCATAAGAGGAGAGTCACGGGATGCTTCAAAGAAAAAACTTCTGGTACAGTGGTAATGGCACTATAGAGTAATGCTGATGTGAATCCCAGGGACACTTGTGTTTTGTTTTTGTTTTGTATTTGTACATTTACTGTTCTTTGGGATGCCTCTGTCTAAAGGAACCATGTTTCAGTATCTGGAACTATCTTTGTTTTTCTTGTTAGCTGAACAAGTGACCAGTAATCTTAAAGAACTTGCGCAGCAAGTAACTCCAGGTGATATTGTAAGCACGTATGGAGTTCGAAAAGCAATGGGGATTTCCATTCCTTCCGCCGTCATGGAAAACAACTTTGTGGATTTGACAGAAGGTACGTGCCCTATTTTCTCTGGGAAAGTGGAAAGCTGTAGTGACTACAGTCATCCCTCAGTGTCTGCCCGAGATTGGTTCCAGGACCCCGGATTTGGTATCTACCCCACAAGGATACCAAAATCTGTAGATGCTCAAGTCCCTAACATAAAATGTATTTGCATATACCCTATGCACAACCTCCAGTATACTTTAAATCATCTCTAGATTACTTATATACTTCATAGAATGTAGTTAATATACTGTATTTTTTTTTTCATTGTATTTTTTTAATTGGATTTTTTCCCCAAGTATTTTTGATTGGCAGTTGGTTGAATCTGCAGACGTGGAACCCGTGGCTAAGAAGGGCCAACTATAAAAGGAACATTAGTCTTCTCCCTTCAAATAACACTTGAAAGGTTTTGTCTGTTTTTAATGTATAAAACTATTCTTAGTTTTCCTTTTATCTTGTCTAAAGAATTAATAAAGATTTCCTGTGTGCAGAAGAGCCACAATAATAGCCTGATAATGCGCCTAGTGTTCAACCTTGGATGTGGTAAAGAATGGCTCTCAGCAGTTACAGTTCTGGATGGCAGCTTGACCTTCATGTCCCCTTTTTAATTAAAAGGTAAAAACAATGTTGAATTAAGTGATGTCTTTTTCTTTCAGATATTGAAGAACCTAAAAAGACGGATGTTGCTGAGTGTGGACCTGGTGGAAGTTGAGGCTGCCTGGTATTTGATTATATATTATGTACATACTTTTTCATTCTTAACTTAGAAATGCTTTTCAGAAGATATTAAATATTTGTAAATTGTGTTTTTAATTAAACTTTGGAACAGTGAATTTGAATGTTCCAGAGGTTGGACTTGTATTAGGTAATAAAGCTGGACCTGGGACTCATCTTGGTGATGTATACAGAAAGGAGCCCTTGTGAGGAAGGAACGTGCTTGGGGCTGTTGCCATACCTGCACAGCATTCTTTCAAAGTAGTGCCTGCCAGTGCTTCTTCCTTATGTCCCACAGACAGGACCATCACTAAGAAACGTTCTTAAAATGGCCCCATCCAGTGATATTTTCCATTATACGAACATACTTGAAATAATTTTACAATTTACTAGTGTGGTTCTGCCCCTGCATACCCAATGGGAATGATGCCCTTGTATGGGTAATTAGGCATCTCCCACCCACCCCCGACAAAAGCACACTGGGAGTTTTATAGCAGGGTCACATGGCTAGCGTTTTTTGTTTTTTTCCATTTTTTAAAGAGTTACTAGTACTATAGCAAAGTAATAAGCCAAATAAGATAAACTAAGTCATCCTTGAATACATCAGGTAGTTACCAGATTACCAAAAGGTGACATTTCTATTTACTGTTTATCTGAAATTGAACTCTTAAGTAGGAGACCACAAAATGCATGGCCCCCTTTTATCAGCAAGCTGAGATAAATGGTGATTTTTCTGAATCTGTCTAGAACCTGTTATACATAAGGGAAAAAGGATGGAGATAGCCTTGTTCAGTGAACAAATTAAGTTTGAAGGCCCTTATACAATCCTTCTATAAATCACCCAGGCAGGAAGCCATTTGATTTCCATTTTCCTGACTTTGAAAATTAGTATTTAGGAAGAACAAGTAGGGTAAAGGAAAATTAATTCCCCCAAAAGACTCAAAATCTTATGCTAAAAGAGTCAAATTTTCAAGTTGTTTTAGAGACTACTTTTAATCTCTAGTGAGTTCCTGAGGACCAAGAAAATACTTAAATTTAAAATACCTTCGGATATTTGAGTTTTTTAAATTGCTAATTTAATGTATAAAAAGCAGCTAAACACTGGTACTTTATAAAAATGAAACAGCATTTTGAAACAAATGTTACAGATCTATAAATACTCATTATATAGAATAAACCCTAGTTATTTGCATGCACCACCTCAAATCATGTTTCTTTACATTGACCTATTATATACACAGAGTATGCAGTGGTTAATGATCTTCTCTTCTGTTCGGAAATTTCCTCAATAAGGCAGAAAACTTCAGGTATTATTTTCACCAGTTAGGAGAAATTGTGAGGAAGTCCTTGACCCATAGAGAAGGTCACTGTTAGATACTTGTTTCTGTCATAAAACAGAAACCAGTAAAGAAATAATTTGGTAATTTAAAAGCAGGTTCATAAAAAGAAAATACCCGCAGGTAATTTTTATGGTCAGTTATATTCTATAACCTGAACACTGAAAACTAAAAACTGACAAACTATTATTATCTGAGCACAGCATAGTGCTTTAATAGGAAATAAAAATGCATGAATGGTAATCAGTTATTTGTTAAACTCCCAACTGGGGTTTCTGTTACTGAAGAAAAAAACAAATATTGCAAGAGTACAAATAAGCTGACCTCAGAGAGGCCCAGTGCACTGATGTGTTTCCATGTTATATTAGCAACAGAAACCTTCCTGACTTCCCAGGAGAGCCCCCGCTGGGCAGCCCTGGTCACTGCTAGATCTTGCGAGCACAGATTTCAGTATAGTATTCATGTGAAACCAACCCTTCATGTAAAAAGTTGGTGTGTAAAAAAGGCAACTTAAGCGAGGCTAATTGCCCTTACCAGCATTGTTGCCATGAAATTCCTTTATACAGCAAGTTCTTCTGTTCACACTGATTCCAGTTATGTGCAGCACATCAGAGCTGTCACTAGTCCACCCAGCACCTTTGTGCAAATTAGAATACGCCTGCCCTTCCTCGGGCTGATAAAGCCACACATGACACAGCACAGGCAGGCAGGCTCAATTTTCGTCCCCTCTACTGCCACCCCCACACTTAGCTGTACTCTAATTTGCAGCCAGGGGGCAACTCATCCCAGGACCCCAACAAGTCCAGTCAGTCACCCAGTCTGCAACCCTGTATAATCTTGTAAAGGCTCCTGTATGCAAGACTTTCTGTAGAACTTAACGGGGTTCATGGTGACATCTAGCTAAGAATCCCTGCTATATAGGGAAACTGAGTACTTTAGAAATCCTGGCGATGCTCTAGTGATGAGGCCACTGGTTAAGTCTTTTGGTTATGAAGTCCCTTCAGAAAAAGGCACGGGCAGTTTTGTTATTTCTCACCCTGTTACAGTTAGGTTGACTTTCAATTCCTTGGAAAGTTGAAGCACAGGTAAGACACATCCCCAAAACCTGGCTTTTTGCATTTGCCTTGACTCGTGCAGTTTCAGAGCAAGAACGGCTCAGCATTTGTGAGGGGGCGGGCTTCCCAGATCCAGGAGCCTGTGCACGCACCCATGCCGAGTAGATCCTTGTAGTTTTGAAGCTCTCCAAAGTTAGCTGTGAAGACTAAAGGAAAGGAGAGATGCACTCACAGGTTGTCCAACTTATCTCTAAACAGACTCCATTCCTTTCCAGTAAGAAAAGTAAGATACAGTTGAAGGACGGCAGGGGAGAATGCAAAGATTCGTGAGTGATCAAGGAAGAGCTGAAAGGCCGCACCTTTCTAGGCACCTCTCTCCAGAATGCTTGCCTCACGAGCTGCCTCATTCAAAGGCAAGGCTCCGCTGCTCCCTGCCTTCTTGCTGTGACCACATTCCTCAGGACTCAACCCCCACAGCCAGCTGACCCCATAAGCTGACACTGGACAGTAGTCCTCCCTACGTGTCAGTGGTTAAAAAGGCAGAGCATACACTGGGAGGAAGAGATTTTTGTCTACTAGCTAAGAAGTCATTCAAAAGGATAAAACCCCCATTAATGTATTCATTTGAAACAAACATACCAGACAAGGCAAAAAGTAACAGTGCTAATTAGGTGTGTTTCTCTACTGTTTGAAACCGTTTACAGATGTAAAACACCCCTTTCAGCTTCATTTACCAGAATGCGGCTGTGAGAAACACTCTCATTGCTGGGCCCACCAGGGAGAGGGAGTCTCCAATCCGTGCCAGACAGCTCAGCTTACTCCCCCTTGGTGTCTAGAAAAACAGACCTCACTTTTGCATGCCCACAGGCCAATGAGGTGGGCGTCTGTTTTCATCATGTGCTAAAGTCGCCTCCATAGCACCTCAGGGAACAAAGATCTCAAAGTCAGCCCTGAACCAGTGAACATTCTCCAGCTTGCCTGGAAACTGTTACAGACCGGGCACAGAGGTTCTGGCCTCCCCTGCGCACAATGGCTCAGTGGCTGCTTCGAGCCAGAATCTGGTGCTGCATGTGTCTGAGAAATCCTTCAGTGGGGGTCCAAAGAAGCCAACATGCACAGCCATCTGCCAGGAGGTGGCCACACCCTCTGCATGCCTCTGGGATTGGCGTGGGGTGGAGTCTTCTCCTGGGCTTGCTTCAGGGAAGGAGATTGGCTTCCCAGCCTTTTCAGAACCCAGCAGGAGCCCTCAGTTCAGCCCCAGCCCCTGAAACTTGGCAGTGTCCGTACAGACAAAGTAAGTTCTCAGCTCGCCTTTGCCTTTGACATTGATCAGGCCACGGCATTCGCAGGAGTACCCGAGGCTCTGGAGGATGGTGCAGGTCTCCTCAGTAACCTGAAAAGGAAGAAGACCTGTGTCTTCAGAGGCGGGAAGAACACCTGTCATGGTAGGGACAGATAGAGACCACCCAGGCACGCGGTCTGCCTTCCCGGGAGAGTGTGATAGCTAGAACCCTAGAACCATGGCTGCTGGTTGAGACAGCAGCTCTTAAGCCCAAGTCCTCTCACTTCTGGGGAAGATCCTTTCCCCTCAGTTACCTGCTTCCCCGATGGGTCTTTACCTGGATTTTCCCAAGTTCTCCGGTGCTCTCCATTCGGCTGGCCACGTTGACTGTGTTTCCCCAGATGTCATACTGAGGTTTTCGGGCCCCAATCACTCCAGCAATCACAGGCCCATGGTTTATGCCTAAAGATGATGTTTACAGTTAGCCAAGCATGCAGGCAAAGCCTCAGGCTTCTGTCCTTAGGGGAGGCCAGAGAATCCATACCCCAGTACAGGATGCGGGGACAAAACAACTAGAGTGAAGGCTGGCTTGTTTCTCAGAGTCACCATGATGCAGTCGGGCTTGGGGTGTGAGGAGGGCATTCCCCGGCCAGCTGTTTTTCAGATTCAGAAGCCAGAAGTCTGGGTTTGATGTTAACACTTGTATCTGCTACTCTCCGTTTTAACAAAGGCCTGGCTTTGAGCGCAGGCCCACAACTATTTAGGTTTAGTAACTTTGCTTCCTTCTCTGTATTTTAAGGTTACCTGTTTACAGTCAATAATTTTGGTTCTCCGTTTTTTGTAGTTACATATTATTAAAACTCTCAGTGGTAACTATATGCTAACTATATGCTTATGCAAAACGTCAGAATAATTGTCCAACTGCTGAGCTTGTCAGATCAGAGGGATTCTCAAACCTTTCATAATAGATGGCGAGGTGCAGCTGTGCTGCAGACTGGGTGGGCTGGCCTAGAGGCAGGGGCTCCCCACGCCCCTACCGCCCAGGCTCACCGACGCGGAGGCGGAAGGAGTTGAAGGAGTGCCTGTTGATGCCGTCCAGCTTGCTCATCAGGGCGATGCTGAACTCCACCATGACGCCAATGTGGGCGTGCTGCCGCTCCAGCTCCTGTGGGAGAGGCTGTGGGTCAGATCCTTGCGTCTCCAGAGCCCCCAGACATAGTGGGCCTGGCGTGCCACTCTTGTTGAGGATCCCCACCACTAAAATCCTGGCAGAGCCCTACAAGCACCTGGGCCCCTCCCCCTCCCCCAGGACAGGATATGGACACACCCTTTAGGTAAGGTGACAGGTCACCTTTAAGTGAGGGCAGTCGGCTGAATTATCCCTCTTGGGATTGAGTACCTGGTTCTCGTGCCCTGAGGCGACACTGAGCCCTGCAGCTGCCATGTATGTGCTGCCGATGGTCTTGATCTTCTCCACGCCGCTGAACTTGGGCTTCAGCAGGAGCTGCAGGTGAGAAGGAAGCGGTGAAGCAGCCGCCACTCCACAGCCACAGCCAGGCTGCCCCCACTCCTCAGGAAGGGTGTGGGGTTCCCTCCACCCATCGCCGCCTCTCGTACACATGTCTCACGCTGCCTTGCCAGCTGAGCGCATGACTAAGCATGGTGAGGACATGGCCCTTGGCGGCTCCTGCTCTTCCTGTCGTCTCCGTCCCCACACTGTCTCCCTCTTCCCTTCCATCTGTGTCTGCACAGAGCAAACACAGCATTATCTACACAGGAATGTAGATTCTTTGTCTCCAGCAAATAATTCAACCCAAACTGATTTCCTCTGAATCGGCTTGGTTGGTAGCGTGGGCTTAGTTGGAAATGAAGCTATTCTAAAGGGCCTGAGTCTAATCTTAGCAAGCTGCCCGTCACAGAGAAGATGCCAACGAAATATTTGCTGCATAAAACAGAATGAAAAAGAAATGTGTACCTTCATATTCTGTGTAATGTATATTCCCCCCAGGGGGGCCATGGTGCTTTTTTTTTTTGAGACAGAGTTGTGAACTGTTGCCCAGGCTGGAGTGGAGTGGCGTGATCCCAGCTCACTGCAACCTCCGCCTCCCGGGTTCAAGTGATTTTCCTGCCTCAGCCTCCCAAGTAGCTGGGATTATAGGCACGTGCACTACCAAGCCCAGCTAATTTTTTGTATTTTCAGTAGAGATAGGGTTTCACCATGTTGGCCAGGCTGGTCTCGAAGTCCTGGCCTCAAGTGTTCCACCCACCTCAGCCTCCCAAAGTGCTGGGATTATAGACCACCTTGCCCAGCCCTGTGTCACATTTTTAAATTGGGTTTTAGAATGGCAGGTGCCACCGCCCTTCCCTCCCCAGCATGGGTTGGGACTGCTGCACAGGGCTGGGCTACAGGCTGTACCTCGTCGAAGTCGGCAATGATCTCATTGAGCAGGCGCAGGCACTCCAGCCCTTCTTTGTTGACATCGCATTCTGTGTAGAACACTTTGAAGTCCGGCACGGAGGCAAACATGACACAGACGCAGTCATAGGACTGATGGTACCAGTCCTGGATGGGAAGAAACCGGACCTTACGCCACTTCACCTCTTGAGGGGATGGGAAGAGTGGCAAGGCCTCAGGAGCAGATGGCACTGAACTGCCCAGCCCAGCTTTCGGGGGGTTGGGAGGAAGGTGGGCTGCATGAGGTTCATCTGGCAGCTGTTACCAGGTGATTAAGAATCTGGTGGCCAGGGAGGGTCAGGCTCAGGTTGGTTTTTTGCTCACAGAAGCACCATGGGTGTTTCCATGTACACATGGGGTAAGAACCTCTGCAGTAGTGGAGGGTAACAGTTGGAGGTCTTCGTTCTCACTGGGCCTCCGTTTCCTATCTAGAAAACTTGCTACACAGAACTGGTAGAAGTACAGACATTTTCATCAACACAGAATGTCCAGATCACAAACCGCTGAACACACATTTCATCCTCGCCACAAGCCTGTGGGGAAGTGCTATCAGCCCATTTTACAGAGGTGAAAACCAAGGCCCAGGAAAGCAAGGTGCCTTGTCCACAACCACACTTGAGCCCAGGTCCTTGACCCCAGACCTGTTCTCTCACAGCTGATCCCATACATTGTTGCCTGGGCATCCCGGTGAGGCCAAGACCTGAGGAAGCCAAGCTCGGTGTGCACTCCAACTCCACACCTTCACCCTATGGACTGCGCCTGGACCCTCCGCCTCCCTGCCTCCGCCCCAGCCCCATCTCAGCACACCTCGTTTAACTTGTCACCGATAAAGTGGGCGGCCACGTGGGCTGGCAGGACGTTCTCCAGAAGAAGGCGGTTCACGTTCTCCATGGTCTCAAACTCCTCGTGCTCCTTCTTGAACTTCTTCTTCCATAGACAGTCCAGGCGGCAGTAATAGTCAATCTGCAAACGGCACGAACATAAGTGCCCTGTCCTCAGGCGAGCAGGGGCCATGCTGCTGTGCATCTCCTAGCCGGGTCTGTCTGTCCCTGGTGTCCTTGGAGCCTCTGGCCAGGGGACCAGTGCTTTCCTGGCAGGACTCTGGTCTTTGCTGCTGCTCCACACGAGCCCACCCCACCCCATCTCCAGATGGAGGTGAGGAAAAGCAGGCAGAGCTTGGGTGGGGGGGGCCAGCCGCCATACCTGTCTGGAGAGCGTGAGCAGGGTGATGTAGAACAGGACCAGGTAGAAATTGGTCATGGTCTTCAGGTCCCTCCAGGAACAGCTAGGGGTGCCGCTGGATATGAAGGGAGGCCCAAGTCACTCCCAGCACTCACCACCCCAACCCATCGAGTCATGCTCTCCAGGTGCCACGCACACCCAGGGGAAAGGGGGAAATGGATTCTAATGGGGTGGGTGGAAAACTAGACAACTCTGGGGTATTGATAAAGGGAGGAGGGGCAAGATGGGCAGGGAGGTGGGGGAGCCCTCATGGGAAAGACCTCTGATCTCACCCCTGAATGACCAGAATCAGCCGTGATGAGGGCCTGAAGGGAGCCCAGAGCTCCTGGTGAGCCAGGGTCAGTGGCAGGCGGGGTGGGGTGGATGGGTGGCATAAGGATTTTGCAGGTGCGGGGCAGACCCACAGGAGCAGATTCTGTTCTGGGTCCCAGGCTTCCAGCTTTTTTGTTTAGGGGGACCAGGTCCACTCCTTAATCCACTTGGGACCCAGAACCCCTAGAACCACACACCCCAGCCCTGCCAGCGCCTCAGGTATCACCACCTGTCTAGGAAGAGACGGAAGCAACTGCTCCTTCCAGAACTCGAGACCCAGGACATGGCCCTGAGAGGCACAGAGCTAGAGCTGCAGCCACCTTCCCTCCCCACCACTAGACTGGCTTGGAAACAGGGTGACCCGGTGGCCTCTGTCAGACCAGAGACTC